TGTGGCAAACACACAACTCTACAGCCCTCTCACACACACTCTCGCCCATATTACCCAGGGAAACAAGCAGCAAATGCTAAATTAGGACACAGAAAGCCTCAATACCAATAAAGCCTGAGTCTCCTGAGTCGACGGACAAAAAGATCAGGGTTTGCTGGAGGTGGTGTTAAATTATTCATGGCTTTATACGATTTGCTCGGAGCGATTCTCTCTCTCTCGCTCTCTCTCTCTCTCCCTCTCTGTCTCTTTCTGCCGGCACCCAGAGCAGATGTTTTCTGTGGGAAAAGCAGCAGCATGTGTTTCCTTCCATCCAGATACACATCTCCTCTTTCACACCACACCAACCAAGCTCTTCATGCCAATAGACTGACATTCATGTAAAATATCAAAGTGAAATCGATAAAGTTACACGTTCTGCCAGCTGTGGCCTGTCATATCGCCGAGGAAAACAATGCCATAACATGCATGCCCAAGAGATTTAATCAATACGAATGTTAATCAGACACTTACTTTCAAGACAGGCACATTCATAACATCACAGCCCACAGACCTTCATCAAGGAGAAGACCATGATTGTGTGGAGGAATTGTATATGAACTACTGTTTCACATGCTGCTAAGTTTTGAAGCTTCTACTTTGATTACCTAACGATACTTCATAGAGGGAAGCTGATAACTGACCCAGTACTTTTGAGTTCTGGTCACTCATTTTAAAAAATCTCTCCCCCGAAATGCACATACCACTGACCTATAGACAGATGAAACCAATTAAAATCTCCATTTCAGCTGGACATATCCCAAAAGTGAAATCTGTAGTATCTAGTGTTTAGTGAGAGAACTGCCTCTAATCTGATACTGAGATTCACAATAATATTTGTGTATTTGTCAGTCACAGTTTATGTTACCTCAATGTGTGAAATGTACGACAGGTGCAGTAGTTCTAAGTGCTACCTCACTAAGCAAGAGAGATGTTAGCTAGCAATGTTAATTATGTGAGCAGATCCCTGTGAACCCCACAGTGTCAAAATAGCAAAGGTTTGTTGTGACATGTTATTACATTATAATAATGCTTTTTTTTTAGTTAGTTTTAGTTAGACAGGCCCAGTTCACACCTGGTATCAGCAGATGTCTGGAGTGATCTGATCATAAGTGGACAAAAACACATAAAGCTGCTTAGACCTGCCATTTCAAAAGTGTCTCAGGTGAGCACTTGTGATCATTTTTCATGACTAGAAGAAAGATACCATGCACATTTCCTACTTAAGGCTGTCCACATGTAATCAGAGTGAACCAGGTGTGAGGGGGACCCCTGCTGTGTATATATATTGTATACACAGTATACACATGTATTTGCAAATGTCAATCCATGGGGTCCAAGCACAATACAAATTTGTGTCCTTGTTTGTGTTTTGCTGTAATTTCCCTTTGAGATCAATAAAGTTCATCATTTGTCATTATATACCTTTTGATATAATGTAATCAATCAGGTGAAAACAATATTAAATCAAAGTCAAACAGCCTCTTTTCGTCCATATGTCAGTAAACATCTCGTCATCCTGTGAATGCTGACTTAAGCTTACAGAAATACTCAAGTATGATTTTTATGCAGTTTTTCAATTCAGTGCTTATATCTTTGAAGTCCCTATGTAGACTGCCTTCAAATACACAGTAAAAAAATAACTGATATTAATGTGGCAGTACAGTCTTGTTAAAATTAATTCATTTTAATGAATTGATTAGCCTAACTTAGCTATCTTGTTTCCTAGTGCAGTTACAGCCCATGCTCAAACAAACAAATATTACTCACCAGTGCCATCTAAAGGTGTCATAGCACCAGCCAGAACTTTTATTGTTTGCATAAAACGCCCTACATTTCTCATTGAACGAGTTTCTGCCTTCTTTTATTTGCATGAATTTGCATTAATCCAACTGATGAAACCACATCCATATTCACATTCTATTTGTTGTGGCATAAACATATAATTATGAAAGCTAACAATGGTGGAAAAAAAATAGTTGTGATCAGCTCAAGAAACTGCAGCCAGGTAATTATGTAATAATTGAAACAGGCCTAGGTATGACCCTACTGTATCAACATTGAATAAATAAATAAATAAATAAATAAATAAATAAACTTATAGGTGTTTTACTGATGTTCCAACTACTAATAAAAAGCAATTATTTTGAACATGCGAAAATAACCAGAGATAAACTTCACTGTTTTGATAGTCCTACATTATGTCAAAAATTGTTACATATTTTTTATACCTGCATATTTAATGACATCTAAGCATATGTTAATCCATGATGATTTGTTTATGCTTTACTTAGTTTAAAATGCAAGCAATCATTTTGCTGTTTATTCTGAATATCATGCAGTTAACGGTAACAGTGTAGCCTTCCAGTTCAACTTGAGCTCAGACTATTTAGATGTCACACAGTATGTTGAGACTGAGACTTGGCCATTGGAGCAGACATTCCAGTTGTCTCACACAGGCATGCTCTGATAGATTCCTAGCACTTCCACATAGATTTACTGAAATGTAAACAGACTTTTTGGACCCAGTCATAGTTTTCATGGAGAATGTGCACTTATTCTGTTACAATATACAAATTAGGATGCCACAGATCAGATGTAGCCGTGTCCTGTCTTACTCTATCTTGCTTATCCATTCATTAAGGTCTCTAGTTCTCTCTGTCTGGTGTTCATGCTCTGTTTCCTGTGCTATAACGCTGCATTTCTCTAGTCTTCTCTCAGTCTCAGTGTCCTATATCGCTCAGGCCATTAGGTCCAACTGCTCTCCTCTTACCTGTTTCTGCTGATGCTGAGATACGTTTTATTGACCTTGACAATTGTTTGCAGTGCAAGGACTTCCCCACTAGTTTTCATTCACTATTGTTTCCCATGCAAGGACATGCCTGTTAGGTTTAATGATGTTTTACATGATGTGTTTTTTTTTTGGTGTGTATCTGTGGGGGGTTGGCATGACATATGTAGCACAATTATGGGAAGAAAAAATCTTGCAAGCCATTTCTGTTCTGCTCGTTTCTTTCTTTCACATACTGATTTCTTCCTATAAGTAATATAAGCAGTCACTTCCAAAGACAGCCTGCAAGCATTTTTTACATGATTTAAAAATGTCAGCAGCCCTTAAATATTTCATGATGAATAGACCAATGGAAATAATTAAAAAATGACTCACTACATTGATTTACATTAAAGTTATGAATGTTTTCCTAATCCTATAAAGTTTCTTTCTGACAGTGACAGTGAGAACATGTGATACAGTACTACATTACAGTGCAATAATGGATAAGGAAAGAGATTGTCAAAAGAAAATTAAATTAAAAACTGTTTCAAAACATCAGACTCCTAACAACCATGTAAGATCTGGTAAACCAACAAAACTGTTACCATGAGATAAACAGCACTTAAAGCCTTCATCTCTGAGAGAGAGGAGAAAATCAAGCTCCACTCTTACTTCAGATCTGAAAAAATCCACAGGTGTTTCTGTCCATCTTTCTACTGTGAGAAGACACCTCAACACTATGAGTCTGAAAGGATGTGTAGCTGTCAAGAAGCCCTTACTGAGAAAAGAAAACAGACAGAAAAGAAGTAAAAATGCAGATCAAACAATGAAGCTGCTGATGTTCTCAGAACAATGGACTGACCACCCCGGAGTCCAGACCTCAACATCACTGAATGTGTTTGAGAAGCAGAAAATACAACCAACTTCTAAGACTGAACTTTGGAGGTGTGAAAAAAACAGCCCTGCAGATTTCTATGAAAAACTGAAAGTAAGTGAAAAGAATGGATGCTGTAATAAAGCAAAGAGTGGACAAACAATAAATACTGATTATATTGAGGCTTCTGTGTAATTGTTTCTTAAATATATGCTTTCTGCTTTTTTATTGTTAATAACTGATTTGACTGGAAATTATGTAAATGATGGGTGGTCTCTGATTTTAGCATAGTACTGTATATCATATATGATACAGTTAGACACATATTTTAAGAAGATATTATTGATCCGTTATAAATCCCTTTATACGGTTATTTTATTGGTCTGTTTACCTCATTACCTTATTTACTTTTTCACAGCTAGTTATTTTATTTTATTCTTGTATACAAAATAATAGTATTGAGGGAGGCGGGGGTCTCATGTAGGATGTGGCTCAAGGTCCCCAAATGGCCTTGCTGGCACCATCTGAACAGAGAACATTTGTTCTCAAGTCTTGCCAAACTCCTTTCAGAGGCAGAGCAAAAATATTTTCATTAAGCAAACCCTTCAAAACAAACACTTGCTGTTTTTATTTTTCATTTTTTTAATTCAATCAGATTGTTTTTAACGGATAATGTAGCAGCACTGGGGGCATCACAAGAGCTTCATCCACTGTTCAGTTCTTTGATTTCAGTGTCCTCTTTTTCAAATATTGCCAATTAAAGCGCCTCTCTAGCACTTCAGAACACTCTGTTTGGTCTGGCTAAAAACACGGCCGGAGAAAAGACTCACTGTTTGTTTGGTACTAGACTGAATGTGTGAAGGAGAAGGAGATGGAGAGGGAGAAAGAGCGAGAGAGCGAGAAAGAAGAGGAATGAAGATCAGAGGCTGGTTTGGGTTCTGTGTTCGGCTGCCAAAGCTTTTCCCTGCTGTGCTCTGGCTCTGATGAAAATGTGGGAATTGGATTTCGTTAGTTGCGATTTTTGTGTGTTAGTGCAGATCATGCTGCAGCTTTCTGCCTCTCTCTCTCACTCTCTCTCACTCTCTCTCTTTCTCTCTCTCTTCCTCTCTTCCTCTGTCATTCGCCCAGATACCCCCTCCCTTCTCTTTTACTCCCTCCCACCCTCTCCATCTCTTTCTGACTACAGCTCCTCCTTCCACCTTGCACTGTCCTGACACCCCCCTTCTCTCTCTCCCTCTCTCTCTCTCTCTCTCTCTCTCTCTCTCTCTCTCTCTCTCTGTACTGGCTGTTTGCTGTCTGTGTGCGTGTGTGTGTGTGTGTGAGCAGAGCCTGTCTGTACGGTCTATGCTCGCTCGCCCCAAATGGACGGCTTCCGAAGTGTGTGGACACGGATAACGGGCACATCACTTGACTTTCTCCCTTGATCTCTTTATCAACGATTTTGGCTGCTTTTTCATCTGCTGCGAGGGCTCTAGTGATGTCCTAGCAGTTTCTCTCTGATGGCATCTCCTGTCTCCTCACTGCGTGCTGGATTTAATAACTAGCCCTTCTGGATACACCACGTTAATGTAAACAACTCTACGTTAGTTACTGATCCGGTAAGACCCTTTTTCATATGATTCTCTTGAAAGCTGCTGGGTGGGAGCCTTTAGAAGCTTTTACTGATGCCAAAAGAAGGCTGATGTGCTTTAGCAAGGTAAGATGAGTCAGATGGGCAAAGCTGTGCAGTGAAACAGCATCACTGTATCACACTGATTAGAATTATGTATAATTAATCATGTAGAATTATGGTAATTGCCGTGTTCCTGTTTTCTAAGTGAACATCAGCTGTGTGTGTACACGGGAGCAGTAAGCAGTATATGATCTAGAACATATGAGTATGCATGTAGGGGGCTGGCAGAAGGTCTTGGGTTCTAAATCTTTGGCGCATGTTCTGAGCTGAAAGGTCCCTCTGAGACTCAGTAAGGACCAGATGTCCGGCACAGTCCTCGCCGTGCCAGACACAACTCTGGACAGGTGGAGGGAGCCTGATAGAGCTACTTTTATCACTGCTCGCGCACACACATGCAGGCTTGTATTCCTACCTTTGTTGGGTTTTGCCATTGACTCCCTCAATGAATTGCCATTGTGTTACTGTACAGGTGAATAGGGTCATTTTTTAAAATAACCCATATCACAATGAATCTTTGACAGTTGATTACTCGTATCTCATAACTATTTTTTGTATTGGAAGTTTTTCAAGAGATTACATTTAGATATGCAAATGAGACTGCTTAATGAGACTATCTACTTAAATGTGTATATATTTGCGTGTTTAAAAGCCTTTGGATAAAGTCAGAATTATTATTATTATTATCTTTTTTTGAAAACTCCAGAAAAATGGTTTTACAGAACAGGTTTTGAATTCTTATTATTTATTTATAAAACATTATTAGAAAACTTTTTCAATTCATTTTGTAGAACAAAATGCTCCAACTATTAGCAATATATTAAGAAATCCTTTTGTAACAGCCTTTAGAATAGTATTAAGAATTAGTGTTGCTGTTAGCATAAAGGAATCAGACTTTTTTTAGACATTTTATTTAGATTCTACAAGAAACAAACTTTTCTGTGATATATGGCACAACAAAGTTATGTGACAGAGCTAAGACTACATCTAATTTGCTAACCTTTGGAACATGCAGTTAAATGTGAGTGAACATACTGGTTTAACACACAGAATTAAGCAATGTTGTTGAATTTTGAATTTCTATGATTACAGCTTATGAGATGTCATGTTATAAATGCAGTTCATTCAGAAAAAAACTAAAAAAATAATTTCTGCCTTTGACACAAATGTTTCATTGACCGACCACTTTTGGTTCTCTAAAAGAACCATGTTTAAAAAAGAGATTTGTGAGTATAAAGAATCAGAACCTTCACGTTTTAAGCGTTCTTCCTGGATCCTTTACATTATATGGAAGTTCTGTAATCTTTGAAAAGGGAATTCACACTCATGTATCTTATTTGCAAAAAATGATACTATAAAGAACCACCCATCCAAAGGTTCTTTAAGTGGTTATTCTATGGCATTTTCTAGAACCCTTTTTGACACCTTCATTTTTAAAAAATGTAGCTAAATACTTACAATGAAACAATCATAAATATCATCTCAATAACCAAAAGAGTTCTTTGGATGCAAAAATGAATAAGTAAAAAGAATGTTCCTCAGGGGAATCTGCCAAATGTCATCACAATATCAAAAACACCAATGAATTCATGTTTTCTGTCATCCTGGGGACACTTGACATTTGGTCCCCACAAAGACCTGAACACACATACACACACTTGTGGAAGTATTTGGATCATTTTCGGGAGCTGCATGTTGTCATGCTGTGGCGCAGTTCTCTGGACTCATGCAAATAACATGATGCTGAACATAGCTAATGTAATATTTCAGAGCTGAAATCTTGAGATGTGTGCTATATTTAGTCCTGTGGCTAGCACAGCCGGAGAGAAAGCTAGAAGTCATCTCCACGTTCAGGTGCACGATTTCCTCCACTCGTTCCTCTAGATGGGTTGTTCACTTAAGCGAAGGCGGGTAGGGAACGAGAAAGAGAAAGAGACAAGCAATGTTAATGGCTTTTAGACGGGCAATTACATTATGGCTTTCGGAGGCGTTTGGAAAATATGGGTCAGCTAACATACATTTAGATGAAAAAAAAAGTGAATAAATAAATAAAAAGAAAAAAACTTTATTGATAGGGCACTATGCAGAGTGCAGTCTCACCTGCTATTACTGTAAGGAACATCAATATTTATCACATTTCCTCTTTCAGAGGGGAAAGCAGAATAAGACACTGTAGGCAGGGAAAAATAATAAAAGATAAATCAGATTAGTGGCCATGGGCAGAGTTTCCACCTCTCTTCCTCCACCCATTTTTCATCTCTACACCTTCGTAGTGGCTTACAAAGCAGAGCTGGGGGAGATTGGGAAAATAGCTGTTCATTTAAATAAAAATGATTTCAGATACCCAATTTTTTACAAGTGAAACCTGTCATTGATTTTTGCTTAAACTTGTCATTTCTTTGTATTCTGAATCCAGAGATCTAGCAGTTAGCAATGATATTTACATTCACTATGGGTTAATTTTACCAGGAATACACAGTCATTTTGGTCCCGGCTCAATAGCACTCTAAATTTATAATACTGGTAGGACTAGAGTCTACACTATATCCACTTTCTTTAGTAGTATCATGAGTCGTATCAGTTACCCAGTCCCGTCTCCTCCTCGAGGAACATGAAGCGATTATAATACAGCATGACCCCATTATCACTACTGCAGTCGTGGTCATGGGGCCATGTTTTCCTGGCAGACAGCACATGATCAGTCTCATAACAGCTCATAGGAAGATTTGGAAAGAAATTTGACTGCCAAAACTGCCAAACCTGCTCTGACTTTGTTTTGGATTGAGCTTTGCTGATAATCCTACCTTGACTTGTGCTTTGAAATGGAATTTTGCAGCAGCCTGTGTTGTGAATAAGGAATGGGTGGGAATTTGGTCCACTTGGGAACCTCCCCTGAGTGTACTCAGCTTAAAATATTGTGCTGTGAAGCTCCTAATGTGCAGTTCTGTTGCTGATGTTGCTTCCAGAGGCAATTTGGAACTCTTTAGTGAGTAATTCAACAGAGGATAGGCACTGTGCGCTTCAGCACTCGGTGGTCCCACTTTGTGGTCTACTGCTTTGTGGCTAAGCTGTTGTTGCTCCTAGGCGCTTCCATTTCACAATAATAGCATTTACGCTCGGCTGGGGCAGATCTAGCAGGACAGACATTTCACAACCTGACTTGTGGCAGAGCTGTCATCCTATGATAGTGCCATGTTTAAAGTCACTGAGCCCATCAGTATGACCCATTCTACTGCCAGTGTTTGTCTATTGAGACTACAAGGCTATGTGCTTAATTTGATCTTCCTGTTAGCAACGAGTGTGGCTGAAACACCTGAGCTCAATAATTAGGAGAGGTGTCCCAGTACTGTTGTCTATATAGTGCATATAGTTCCAATGCTAGATTGTTTTTTCAGCAAACTGAACTGCTGATTTGTGCTTGTTAACATCTGGTTAGTACTGTTAAATGTTAATTGATTGTTGAAATTAATTTTCCTCACTTTTCTGAAATATAATAGTTTGTTGTAGTATGTAAACACTGTTAAAGTTTCTAAACCTACCATTCAGGACCAGTTTATACAGTATATATATGAAGACTAAACTGCAAAACCTGTTTTGAATTCATTGTTTTTGTCACATCAAAACAACACATATCAGCCTACAGCAGTTAAACCAGTCATGTCGAAGTTATAAGTGTTTCAGCCCAGAGCAGAGTGTTTTTTGAGTGAACAGGGTGGCCAATCACAACAGAGTACATTTACTCATCACTCTTAAAGGCACAGGAATAAAACAGCCTGTTTAACTGTAAATGATAAAGAGTGGTTGAAAAATGCAAAAATTAATTTCAACTGTTTTTGATACATAAACTACACAGAAGTTATAAGTGGACTTAAAACTGCATTTAGTGCATTTTCTTGAATCAAATCAACAGTTATTTCTAAAAGTAATTGAACTGAAAGACAAAATTAAAGAAATGTATTTCATTCCTCTCTACATTTGGATGAAGTACATTTAATGCATTACATTTTAAGTGTAGTTATAATTTAACATTGGATAAAATAAATGAGACCAATGCAGTCCACCCCGAGAAGTCTCAAATATATACAGCAACAACATATAGTAGTGTATTTACATGAACAAGATCATTTTATTGACCATCAAAACCAAGTACTTGGTTGCTTATATATACAAATCAAGCAGGTAGCCTACATACACTACAACTGTATTCCTGTTTATATTCGCTTGCAAATAATTCCCCAGTGGCTCCTTCCATGAACGTCGTTGTTAGCTTGCTGTCTAGCTATGCAGCATGAATTAATAAATAACACCATAATACCCTGAAGTCTTATTCTGCTCTTTAAGAATGGGATTTCGTCCCACTTGAACACCGAGATAATAGAGATAATCAACAGTTCAGTGGCAGTTCAGACATATACAGCAGATCATGTGTGTGTATGCTGTATGTAAGTGACAGTACATTAAGTATAGCTTAAGATCTGCTGTATGCAAACGGAAACTGCTGTGCCAAATTGGCTTTCAGAAGGTGGAGAGTGGAAGCAGACTGTGAGAAAAACAATACAGCCGATATTGATCAGTCTGAGTGCTGCTGAGGAATGCCTCAATCCCTCTCGAGCGTCAGAGAAAGAACGTCAGCAGACTGCTGGAGTGTGACCGCCACTGAATGACCCTGTGTTTCACTCAGACAGTCCACACTTTTCTTTGCACAGGTTGGAGACATGCCATAAACAATATTAAATTGTAGTTAAATGAAGCCATAAAGCACACCACAGTGCTAAAGTCTGTCTAATACAAACTAATATACGCTGCCTGTCAAAAACTGGACACTTTGCCTTTTTTTAAAATTGGACTTTTCTCACTGATACTTTTCAATTTAGCAAGCATCTAACACAGCATATACAGCACGGTGCAAAGGTCTTAAGTACCCAAACA